GAAGGGTTCGATCGGGTTTTGCCCACCCTTAAATGTCACTTGTATAAGTGATTATGATTATACATCATCTTTGTTCTTATTGGATGAATTTAAAAAGTAATTGAACAAGATTTTTACACTATTATGATATTCTTGAATTCTTTCTTCAATTTTTCTCTTGTGGCTTTCATGATAGCTTCTAAGAGATTGTGTCTTTTGAGATGTGGCTTCATGAATGGTTATAATCTTTACGTTTAAATGATATGAATTGCTTAATGAATGTATAATGAGAGTTTATTTTTTTATACGCTACATCTGTAATCATATTTATTTTAATTTTATCTTTTATTTTTGGATAACCATGAATGTTCGAGTCAGTTTACGCGCACCTCGACTAATTTCACGAGGCCCTGAAGTTTACGGTCGGATACTCACCTCAGTGGTCCTGAGGGGATTCGAACTGGTAACCATTGGGGAGCAAACCCAATCTTATCTTTATTTATATTTATAAAGCATATTTTGTCTTTGTTTGGTCTCAATTTTTTAAAATTCATTTTTCTCAAACTCATTTTAATCACACATTTTATGAAACTCATAACTTTTGTTTATTTTTCAATTACACGTTTAATCAACTTGTATTAAAATTTACTAAACATATGATTTTTAGCCAAATAAAATAGGGGTGATCTCTTGAAGTAATTTTTTCTAGGTTGAGGTTGGAGTCTCGACGAATTTGAGACATGTCAAGCAGAAATTTTGAAGTTTTTCATCAAACGAGATCGAGAATCAAACATTATCTATTAAAGAATGAGAGGCAGCGAGCGACTAGATTCGAATTTTCTGAAGGAAATAAAGGCATAGACTCACCTAGTCGTGGATGGTGCAATCCACCTCCACAAGAATCACAACCTTATGCTGGTGGATAGAACCAAACTAAAGAAAGACAAGGTAAAAGTAGTCGTTGACTTTCCTTCAAAACTTTGTAAAATTTGGCACAATGTAAATTTTATTTATGTTATCCTTCTTTTACTTTCCTAAAGTGCAGCATTTATCTCTTCACTTTTATGGCTATTCAACCAAAAAAAGTTTGTTAAAATTCCTTCTTCCTTTTTTGATGATTCTCCACTCTTTTGAGATTTAAAAACTGAAAATATAGAAAGGTATCATATTAAGAAACTCCATTTTGAATCTTTCAATTAATTAAGATCAAAGAGAATCCGATAAAGAAAATAGTTATTCCCCATTTGTTAGGTCAAAAGTGCAATCTACATGCGTTTGAGATAAAAAAGTTGAGACCCATCTCCACTTCAGTTGTCATGACTCATCTCTGTCTGGACTCTGGACCAATGTATCTTGCCTCGTCATGCTCGAATTTTAACATTTTTCAGTCTTTAATATTGTCGAATACTTTTGAATCTACCTTGTGCTATAGAAGGTGCCCACAATCATTGTCGATCCTTCTCTCTTTCATTAGAGGTCACCGAAAAATGGAGGAGCAAAATAGGAAGTCGAGAAGATCTTGGCCAAAGTCCATGACAATACACTCCTACGCATTGACGTGGACAGTTCTATTGCAACACAGGAGAACGATTTATCCAATAATACATGTTATTACTTAACTATACGATAAAAATAATGCACCACATGTTCCCCCATATGATGGTCACTATTAACTCAGGTAAACAAGACAGAGTGCCTTAGATGAAAAAGAAATAAAAGTTTAGGGACTAATTTGAAACCCAAAAAACCAAGAGTGTATTTGGCCTGAATATGGGTATGTGCTCTGTTATTGGCCCATATTAACCAAGAGAATGTAGAAGCTGCCATTGCCAAGGATTGTTACCTGGAAAACCATATAATTTCTTCAATCAAACAGCACTTTCACTTAAAAATGCATTTTTTGAAACATGATCATAAGTACAACAGTATAATCTTATGAGGAAATGGTGGTCAATGGCTGGTCGACCCAGTCTGATTTCCACAATAGCTTTTGACCAGATTAAACTACAAAATCTCCCAAAGGGGAAAAAAAGAGGGGAAAAAATCTTACTGAAGAAATAGACTTCAACACTATTCACCATCATCATCTTCTACACATTTAATCAAGGTTAGTTTTTGTTTTTATTATTTAAATTTTATGATTTTACGAATGTGCTCTTTGATTTTTATAGTTTTTGTTTTTATTATTTAAATTTTATGATTTTACGAATGTGCTCTTTGATTTTTATATTCAATCTTGATAAAATCTATGAATTTATGCTTTTAACGCATGGTTTGAGATAGATACATTGTTAGAATCGAGGTTAGTGTTGATTTTGGTGATTTTTTGGGATGGTTCTCACCGGAAATGGCGAACTCCGTCGTACTCATGGCCGTTTGGAAACCAGACGACCATGCGTCTGGGCCAAACGTCCAGACAATGGTCCAGGAGTCTGGCCTAGACTCTACTTCGGGCGTCTTGGTCATTTTAAGGATATCTTCGTCTTTAACATTTTGAGAAGGCCATTGTGATGAATAAATAAAAATAACTAGGATTATGTGGTGAATGATAACTTTGACGTGGCCATCTAGAAAACGCCGCCATAATCTTATTCAAACTACCCACGCAGCCTTATGATGTGAACACAAGAAAATGAAGATTACTACACCCAAAACACCTTTAAATAATCAGCGAAAGGGGAAAGAAGAAGAAACACCTTTAAACAACCATTTCAGCTTCTCTAACATTTGTAGGAATCCCCACATCCAACCTCATTGTTGGCTTGTACTGCGCGAGCACACCAGCACCGGCATGCACACATATTTCTATGACAGCAGGGGCTCGTCCCGAACGGGGCGATTCAGGATTTTGAATAAGCACGGGTAACCATTGATTGTCGAGCGCAATAAAATATTACAAATATTTTGCTAAAACTAAACATATATAATTATGTTATATAAGTCAACAATATTCACCAAATGATATAGTGGCCAAATTTTGTATAATTCAAAGGAAGAGCACATGTTCAAATCTTTCCAATTGCATTAAAACCACTAGAATTGATAGAAAACGAAATATAATGTAGAAGAAGATGGAGAAGAGAAAGAGAGCAAGAGATTCAATAATGGCTACATCTTTTCTTTATTGAATTGATTGATATTGAATACAAAGCATTTGTCCCTATTTATAGGGAAATTACATTGAGATAGAAAAGGTAAATATCTTAAATATTACGAGAATCAAATCAAATCAAATTGATTAAGGTAAATATGAAAATCAAATCAAGATAATATCAAATCAAGATAATATTGATTTGATATTATCTTCAA